TTGTAGTCGGACAGGGTGCGCCCGTCTTCCAGCTGCTTGCCGGCAAAGATCAGCCGCTGCTGGTCTGGGGGGATGCCCTCTTTGTCTTGGATCTTGGCCTTGACGTTCTCGATGGTGTCACTGGGCTCGACCTCGAGGGTGATGGTCTTGCCAGTCAAGGTCTTCACGAAGATCTGCATCCCACCTCTCAGGCGCAGGACCAGGTGCAGAGTGGACTCTTTCTGGATGTTGTAGTCGGACGGGGTGCGCCCGTCTTCCAGCTGCTTGCCGGCAAAGATCAGCCGCTGCTGGTCTGGGGGGATGCCCTCTTTGTCTTGGATCTTGGCCTTGACGTTCTCGATGGTGTCACTGGGCTCGACCTCGAGGGTGATGGTCTTGCCAGTCAAGGTCTTCACGAAGATCTGCATCCCACCTCTCAGGCGCAGGACCAGGTGCAGAGTGGACTCTTTCTGGATGTTGTAGTCGGACAGGGTGCGCCCGTCTTCCAGCTGCTTGCCGGCGAAGATCAGCCGCTGCTGGTCTGGGGGGATGCCCTCTTTGTCTTGGATCTTGGCCTTGACATTCTCGATGGTGTCACTGGGCTCGACCTCGAGGGTGATGGTCTTGCCGGTCAAGGTCTTCACGAAGATCTGCATCCCACCTCTCAGGCGCAGGACCAGGTGCAGAGTGGACTCTTTCTGGATGTTGTAGTCGGACAGGGTGCGCCCGTCTTCCAGCTGCTTGCCGGCGAAGATCAGCCGCTGCTGGTCTGGGGGGATGCCCTCTTTGTCTTGGATCTTGGCCTTGACGTTCTCGATGGTGTCACTGGGCTCGACCTCGAGGGTGATGGTCTTGCCAGTCAAGGTTTTCACGAAGATCTGCATTGTCAAGGGCGGTGAAGGAAGCTGCGAGCGAAGAGAACGGCGACTGCGTTCCGACGACCACGAATCTATCACTATTTTCTTAACCTCTTACTCTCTTGTTCGCTGGGAAGATCGGTTTGTCTAGTGAAGCGTGGCCAATGGACACAGGTATCTGAGCTGATCTCTGCTCTTCCACTTCATTGCAGTGGGGCCTGCGGCAGGTCTTTAAAGCTCTCTAGACCTTTTTGGAAGGGACAGATACCAGCTATCCTTTCTACCTGAGTAACTGGCATGGAAATAAATTGACAGATGAAAACTTACTAAGTTATACCTAGAACTGGGCACTTAACAGCTGGGGAAAGTGTCAAGAAACTCTGGTCATAGCAACGGTGCTGGGGTTATAAAGTAAAGGTGGTTTGACCTTCTCAATAAACCCAGCTTCTCATACACAATCCGATTTCAAATCCCAGTTCTGTGTACTGGCTGGCAACTTATTTAACCTCTCTGTGCCTCACTTTCCTCATCTGTAAAATGGGGCAATAACAGCATCTACGTCGTAGGGTTATTTTGCAGAATTCAATGTGCTAATATTTGCAAAGCTTTGTGCATTGGGACTTGTAACAAGTCTAAGGCGTGTAAGCGAAACTGATAGTGTGGAGTTCCAAAAAACTGTTTTGACACAATAGTATAAGGATGCTAAATTATTAGATATGTATTTATGTGTTGTGTGTGTATGTGTGTGTGTAGGGAGGGGTGTATATGTAGATACATGCACATGTGGGTATGTGTACATGTAGATGTGTATGCACATGTATAAGGGTATGTGCATATATTCATTTGATGGGTTAGATAGAGACCTGGATAAAAGGCTACATGCTCTTTCTGGAAACAAATATCTGAGTCTCATGAAAGCAGCAAAAGAAGAGAAAGCCAAAGAATTTAACTTTCTTTCAGGTCCCCACTCAGTTTCCAGCACTGAGCAAGGAGCCCGAGCAACTGAGATGCCATCGCTGGTCCCGATTTGAAGACATTCTGGTTGACCTTTCTCCTTTGAGAATCTCTTTGATTTCTTTTTTTTCTTTGATTTCTTAACCTTTCTTTTTCCTGGACTCTTAAATCTAGTAAGTGACTCCCCCCATTTGTTCCTAATGTCTTACTATAAATTTTTTGTGTTTTGCAAATTGATGCTATGCCTTGTGAATTTTGGTGAATACAGGCTAAAGTGCTAGCTCTATCAATGTCAGCAGAATCAGACATACCTTTTACTAAAATCTTTTCACTAGAACTGGTTCACAATTTGACTCAGTCTTGCAATTACTCACTGATTATTCAGCATGTGCCTGAGGCTGACAAGGATTTGTACGGATAGCCTGTCTGTTGTTTGTGTTTTATTTAGTCTCTAACTGTGAGAGGCTACTTAGGGGTTAAAGAACAGGCTGGGAACAATCCCAGATGGATGGTGGCACGAGGTCTTTTCTACTCACTACCAACCTGTGTCAAATCTGAGCTGACGGTATTATCAAAGGGTTTCCACCCAGTTTCCTTACTAGGAAATTCATTTGTTGGTGCAATATTTGCAACGGCAATGATATCCTTACACTGGGAGTGAACAGATTGCTACCTGTGCAAGATCAGCTGCTCAGCCCATCTGTCTATATACAAAAGTGACCTCAAATGACCTCTGGAAGGATCTCCTCACTCTACAGGTGTACATGTCCATCCCACGGCTCTGTGTTCACTAGGAGGTAACGATCCATCCCCAGGTGGGCCGCGTGCAGTTAGTAACAAAGACTGCTGATGCCCCAGATACTTGCTGGAAAACATAACCTCAAACTCACTGCTACTCATTATCTTTCAAAAGCTCCGCTAAGAAGGACAAAAGTGATAGAGGCTTTCCTAAAGAGTATGCACCATCCATTATTCTAAACACTCTCTTTCCTTAGACTAACCAGACCATCCCCAGAGTGAATTATCCTGGGCCTCAGTAGAACTGTTTTCTCAATAGGACTGTTTTCTCAAATCAGGTGATATAATTGGCCTATATTGAGGGAAGTGACATGAAACTACCCCATGTCACTGTGTTTACCATGAAGTCACATTACATATTATTTCCCCTACAAGGACACATAAGAGAACCTCCCTGGTCTCAGTACCAAGAATAGTCTGCTTCTCTTGGGCAAATGGACTGTTTTTACCTCAGGGAAACTATGTAGGTTGTAATCTGTCATATTTCACATTTCTCGTTGTCAGAAAGCAAGCTCAGAATCGAATCTGTAGCCTGCTTCTTCTATTTAAGTAAAAGAGGTCGAGATGCATTTTGTGGGTTAACCTCACCCCTGGCTATAGCTACCCTGTAGCTTGTTTGGCCTGTCCCTTTTTCTTTCTTTGCTAATTTTTAATTCATTTAATTTTCCTGTGTTGCATAAACCTTGTTAGACTATTTTTGAGCCCCTTTGAACAACTAAAATATAAATACATTAGGAAACCGAGAAGCCACTGTAAATCAGTGTTAGTGGGTCAAACATAATATGTGAAATTTCCCTGGATTCTAATCTTAGGTTTTTCATTAATACACCATTTAATGGTCAGGAATGATTTTAGATCTATAACTAACAAGCTTAACATTAAAGCCCAAAGAAGAAGAATATGCAGACATGAGGAATAATGCGGGATATTCAGAAATCAAGTAATGGAAGGTAACGTATTCCAAAATCCATTGTCAACCTCCCAACTCTTCCACCTTTTCCGGGAGTCAATTGCAAGATACACAGATGCTTCCTGCACCCACCTGATGACAACACTTCACTGCTATTCAGAAGAACAATAATCCAAATCACCTACCGTGTTTGTGAATAAATGCAAGTCCTTGCAGTATCTGAAACATGATGTTCCTTATAGCAGACTCAGGAAACAACTTATTTCTGTATGGAGCAGAGGGAAAAAGTTATAAGTCTAGATTTACAAATGAAAATGGGATTCATTTTGGTTATATAGTAAGAACTTGTGCAAACATTGGCTCACGTGCTAATTTGACCAGATCCTTTGATAATAATACAGAGCAAAGAAAAACAACCATTTGCCCATACACACCAAATATATTTAATTATGTTACAAAGAAGCAGTGATGAAATATTTTATAGTAAACCCCCCAACAAAATTCCCTCTAATGTAACATATAAAAATCTCTTCTCTCTGTAATATAAACTAAAACTTTAAAAAATTTTAATGGGGAAAATTTGAGGCTTTATGACATGTAGTAGAGAGTAACATTTTCCTCCTGGTTGAGCAAACTACGCATCTTCTTTGCTATGATTTTCAATAAAGACCCTCCTTGTCCGCTGAAATCACTCAGAGGGATTCTGTGAATGGCTTTCATCTGCCACCAAGAAAATGTGCCCTGGAGGTTCTACATGGCTCACTTTTAAAGTTCCTAATTACCTTAGCAGGTAAATTTTTTATTAGACTCCTCTGCCCCGTGCACAAGCCCCTGAGCACTGTGGTGAGAAAGGAATGGAAATAAACCCAGAAGTTTTTGATGGAGGTTTCAGAGTGAATGAAGCTTTTACACCTTGACTGGCAGTTGCTCTGCCCACATGTCCCTGTGGGAATGGAGAACTACAGAATGTCTGTTACATGTCTGAGCTCCTTTGGGTGAATAAGCCATTAAAACATGAAAACAGCTTCATTGAAACTAGCTTCGATGATGCCAGCACAAGGCCTCCGAAGTAGGGATGGGGGTCTGGCCCCTTCTCTAACAGGCAGCTTTAAGCAGCACAGCCTGAGGAACATGACTGATAAAATAAAAAACAAAAGCAGAAAGAAAACACGTCCACTTTGCAATAGTTATTTCTAAGATCATGAAAACCAAACGTACCTTTCTTTAATGAGCTGGTAGAGATTTTCCTGCATGTACTCAAAGATAAAATAAAGATGATCGTTCTCCCTGATCACTTCTTTTAGTTTTACTATATTGGCATGGTTGAGCTTCTTTAAAGACTGAAAGGTGAGGAAGAAAAACAAAAAGAGAGGTTCTATTGTTGAAAAAGAAAAGTAACCCCATGTGGACTTAGGAAGAAACACCTAATTCTACAACCACAGGAAGACCACAATTCATATTTTAACAACAATTTCATAAATGCTATGTCTATGAAATCCATAGCAACTGTACATGGAAAAGCTATCTTGATTAACTGACCGAACGGTAAATGCGTGACCTTAACTGGTATTTCTGGTGCCGCCAGGACCAGCCAGTGGGCCAGGGCTACCTGAGATGTGTTGCCTCCAGATAACAAACTCATTCCTGGGAGGTGGAGAGAGGAATCTATTGGAAGATGAGGCTTTGACTGTTCTAGCACAGGCAAGCCTCGCTGTATTGCACTCCACTATATTGTGCTTCACAGATGTTGTGTTGTGTTTTGTTTTTTACAAATTGAAGGCAAGACCCTCCACTGGGAAACAAGATTACAGCGTGCTTTATCGCGGTGGTCTGGGACTGAACCCTCCATTTGTCTGGGGTGCGCCTGTATTGGAGAAGGCAGCTGCCTTAGGGCAAGATCACCAGTTGACAGTCTGCAGACATCATGAACGAGAAATTGTTTACACAGGGGCCAATAGCCTGATTCTGTCAACTTCCATCTGGTTCATCCGTGTCCAGAGGACACAGAGTGCCCCTCACACTGTGAGTTCTGAAGCAGAGGGAGAAGGAAGAGAAATCTCTTTGGAAAGACTCTGAAGCGATATGGGAGAAATAGCTCTGCTTCCAAGAACAGCAAAGGCAGTAAAAGCGAGGCACAAGGAACAAGAGGGTGACGTGGAAAACGCTGCCTGACCTTATTATTCAGCCTTGCGTGCATGCAGCTTTCCTCTTCTGGGAACGCACTCGTGAGTACGGCCGTGTCAACCATTTTTTGCTTGCCTCATTAGTTCTGTCAATGGTGAGCAGCGATCCCATTCATGTGTGACAGCCAGAGATACCCAACTATCGGTGTACTCACGAGACACTTAGAATTTGATAGACAGGCTCCTTCCAGGAAGCCTCGAAGGGTCACCCTGGCCAGTGGGATGAGCCCTGTCATTCAAAA